AAAAAAAAATGTAGACGTTATAATTTGAATTTTAAACTTATATTTTTATGAATTTTTTTTCATAGAAACCGCCATATAAAAATCTACATGTTTATAATGTGATTTTTTTTTTGAAAGTTTTATTGATGGAAACATGTAGCCATTATGTTGTGCAATTTTTCAATTTTTCTTTTTCTTTTTTTTTTTTTGATGGATGAACCAATTCTCTCTCTTAAAGTCTTTATTTGTTATTTGGGTTCTAGAGTTGTGTTTATATATCAATTGTGATGAATTAATTCTTCACTATTTTTCTCAGTTCTTTGTCTCAATTTTTTTGACTGAAACTTTTTCTTTCTCAATTTCTTTTTATTTTATTTATTGTATTTTTTTTATTATGAGATATATATAGATTATTTATTGTATTTTTTATTATAAAATATCAATTGTGATGAATCAATTCTCCACTATTTTTTCCATTTCTTTCTCTCAATTTTTTTTGACTGATTTTTTTTTTTCTCTTTCTCAATTTCTTTTTTATTTATTATATTTTTAATTATGATATATCAATTTTGATTGACCAATTTCTTTTTTTGGCTAAAACTTTTTCTCCAATTTTCTCTCAATAAGAAGTTATATTACAAGATAAGGAATTTTAAAATATTTTAAAATTAACAACAGAAAACATATAGGATAGCTATAAGATTATGCGCGAGTAACAGATAATTTTCAATTTATTTATTATATTAGATAAGGTTCAATTTATTTGTTTATTTTTTATACTTATTGATTAACAGACTATTTGTAGATAATAAGAAGGTTTCAACAAATATTAAAATTGAAAAAATAATAATTTAAGATACCTTGAAAAATTATGTATGAGTATAGTTTTAAATTTGATTAAGCAAATAAAAAATAAATTTATAGATAACAAGGAGGACACCAAAAGTTATTAAAATTAAAAATAGATATTTAATTTTTTTTCGTGATCTTTCTTTCCTGTTCTCTCTCAATTTCTTTTTATTTTCTTTATTCTTTTCATTTTTCTTTTTTTCATGATATATAATAAAGTTATGAAAATTAAAAATAGATGTTTAATTTTTTTCATGATGTTTCTCATAATTTTATGAATTCATAATGTATATATATATTTTTTTTTGGTGGAAAAAATTAGGAAATATTGTATTGAGAAAGAAGAAAAAAAAATTATTTTTTTTAAAAATGTGTAAAAAAAATAAGAAGTAATATAATTTAAATAACTCAATAAATTAATAAAATGAATTTTTTTTAATTGTGAAAATAGGTCTCAACGCCATTGGGAATAATTTTTTGTCACACTTCAAGCAGTGCGCTAGCATTCAGTAAGGGTATCAGGCGACCGCATATGCCTGTTTTTTTGTTTTTAGATAGTTCCATCACGTCATTAAGTGCTAGAATATTCTAAATAAGTGTCCTTTTTAATTTTTTATGAAATATAAGTTGGGTATAGATTAAATTTGAAGTGATATGATAGAGAGATAATGTGACTTAAATAAGATGATGTGACTTAAATATGATAGTAATTTTTTAACCTTTTGACTTTTTTAGAAGATGACAAACAAACCCTTAGTTACCAAAAAAATTCAAAGTCACAATCGTAATCAAATGACATTGAATTATATATATTTTTTCTTTAATATGATTTATTGTCACTGTTGTTAGCTATCCAATTTAAGAATTTAAGAATAAGGGGAAATTCTAATATTCATTCATTCAAAAAGGACGTATTATATACAACATTAATTATAATTAATTTTTTTTATAGTTATGATATTATTTTAGTTATATTTCATGTTGTGTTTAATTATGATAATTTTTTTTAGTTATGATTCAGAAAATTAAAATTATGTCACTTTTATTTTTTATTAGAAAGTACGTATAGTGCACACCCATTGAATTGAAAGGTATACTTCATAGTGTTTCCCAAGAATCTATTCTTTATGTGGGAGATTCACTTTTCTTAAGTTGTCATCTCAACATGAGAGAAGTTTGGACTTAATAAGCCCATTTGTTTGGACGTAGTAAGCCTATTTTGAAATTGATTTTTGGTGTTTCAAACCGTTCCCTTTTAGGATTCATTGAATAAAAATAAAAATGATTAGATATCGGTAGCGATATGTTTGAATTATATTTGTTTAAAAAAAATAAACGATAAATATAATTTCAAGAATAGCTATCCACTTTTTATAATACAAATTTGATTCAAATATATAACTATCGATATCTTATCATTTTAATTTTTTACATGAATTATTTACTTAAAAGAGTCTTAAAATATGAACGGTTCAAATTACTGAAGTTAATTCCAAAAATAGATCTACCAAACCTAAACGTTTTCTAAAGTTGAGATGACCAATATGAAAGAAGCCCAACTCGAGAGAATATGCTATAAGGCTTATTGTAGTGTCTATTTTTATAATTGGATCCATTAGAATAAATGTATTAGTGTAATTACATTACATTTGTTTCGAAGTATACTGTCAATCTTTTAGAGAATAGATCAGACAAAATTATTTAACTATTATTATCAAATTAGTTTACTTTTTTCATAAATCATCTACACATAAATACTGGGAAAAAAAATATTATCATCAAATTGTGATAGATAAGCCCATCTACACATAAATACTGAAAAAAAAAAATATTATTATCATCAAACTGTGATAGATAAGCCCATAAAATGTCCAATATCTTATTCGAACTACACAGAAGTTAAACTTCGCATTTATATCATGCTTCGCATAAAAAAAATAAATTATAATTAATAATAATTCTGGATAATATGAAAAATCAACTAAAATTATACTATGAAAATAAAATGTAACATGCAGATTTAAAATTAACATGTTATTAGTTATATGCATAAGAAAAATGTTTCGAACTATTAATTCAACACCACTAAACACCACTAATGATGTGACACTATGTAGATCCCATCACTGATGTGATAGTTTGACCTTCGATTTTTTTTTTCTTACACTATCACCTCATTAGAACTGGCATTAGTGCTCTCATTTTAGAGCACTAAATCATTTTTCTATGCATAATAAATTTTGTTCACATATTTAAAATTTATAGAAGTTTAAATAACTTCTTTTTGAATATATAATAGTACTAGCAAAAACTTACCATATATGGAATGGAACAACACTCCACCCAGTGTGTGATTTTGGTACACGTTTTTTTATTTTTTATGTACCTATCTTTTTCATCCATAAATATTGTTCAAAAAAATAAAAGTTTAAATATTTTGAATTTTTTATTTTTTGTGTTTTGTTATAATTTTTTTCTTTTATATTATTTTTCGTAAAACTAAATAAGTGTGCTTATTTGAGTCATATCATCTTTCTA